CACACACACACAAACACAAAAACTAAAATACCTTACACCCATACACTCACACACACACACGCTCACACACAAACTCTCTCACACACACACTCACTCGCACACAACTCTCTCACACACCTCACTCACACTCACCCCAGGAGGATGGAGCAGCTCCTGGTTGTCCCGGGCAACTCCAACTGCTGCGACTGTGGAGCGGCCGAGCCGCGCTGGGCCAGCATCAACCTCGGGGTCACGCTGTGCATCGAATGCTCCGGCATTCACCGCAGTTTTGGCGTACACATGTCCAAGGTATGTCTGTTGACACTTGCAGTACCATCGTTGACTTTAGTTGCTAGGCTGTAGTACGCGCTCTTTACCGCTGGAGACTTTTGTCACCAAGGCAACCAGGCTACTTACTTTACTTTATCCGTCCTCTTGTACCTCTAGGGCATCGAGGGGAGAAAGAGCTTCCTGTCTTTAACAAGCTAGATGGCTTGGCTGGGTGGGATATTGTATGTTCTCAGGATATCCTTCACACCCTGGATCCAAGTCTTTCTTGGTCTTCCTCTTGCCTTGTACCCAGATGCTTTTCTGTAGTAGGCTTTACTGGTAAGCTGGTGAGGTGCCATACGTGTGAGATGTCCAAACCACTTGCTTTCGAACCGGACACACTGAACATAATTAAAGAACAAATGGACGCACAGCACTGAAGTAAATACCAAAGGAAGTCACTCTATATGATATCTGAATGGTTGATGAGCCTCTAAGAATTTTTGTAAGCGTGTTTCTTGGGTTGCCAAGGTTTTTTTTAAATTGAAAAACAATTCTACCATGGCTTCAGTGTTCTAAAATGGTGCGGTACTTGATGGGTTTTCACTAAATGTAGTGCTTCCACTCTTCCGTATTTTTATTGAAATCTGTACTTTCCACCAGTTCCGTAGTTGTTCCTCCGTCCTTATCAACTCCCTCCGTAAAAAAACTGCATCAGCGCAGGACTGCCGAAATTCCGTAGCAAAGAGCCGTACTCGCCTTTGTATCGTCTTGTAAGTTACGGATATTTACGTAATTCTGTCGGCAACAAGTTAAAGTTATAGAAACCTGCCAGATTGCGCATTTCCTGCAATCAGCCATTATTCCGCTATGCCCCATGCATTCATTGCGGGTTGGTCGGCAGAACATTTATTACCTGCAGATGGAATGATATGTAGGTGACAATGAATACAATATGATGATAAAGGTGATGAAGATCAAACCTCCTTTTCTTTGTATGTGACTCTCGAGTAACACCTCTAACCTTTTAGACCTAGATGACCTTATTTTGTTTGCAAGTGCCGTAAAGCTCTTACTAAAACGTATCTTTTGTGCACCGTCCAGGTCCGCTCCATTACTCTGGACACCTGGGAGCCCGAGAATCTCAAGGTCATGCTGGAGCTGGGCAACGAGGTGGTCAACAGAATCTACGAGGCCAAAGTAGACGAGTCCATCGCTGCCCGAGCCACGCCTGAGTGTAACAGGTCAGAGGATGACCACAGAGTCATGTGTCCTGGGGGTCCATTATAATAGTTGGCTGATGTGTGGAAATATAAACTTTAAAAAACTCGAACACCCCCACTCCCCACTCCCAGGTCATTTAGAACAGAGTTGACCTCACACATGGATGGGTTGCTCCTTTTTGTCCTATCAAACATATATCATCCGTATCTCTCCTCCTCCTTTTTTTTTTTTTTTTGCTACTCTCTTGCAACACCTCAAATCTTAGGAACTTTTTTTTACCTAATTGTGTTGAAAGTGCTGTAAAACGTTTACTAAAACTTAAAACTAAACTAATAATATTTATAGACTGGGGTGGAAGTAGCCCATCTCATAAATGATCTAAATCGTGTTGAAAGGAGGCTGGTCAGATTTTTTAAATACAAGTTTAAGAGCAAGATGTTGAAGTTTATACGTAAGATACTAACAATCGTTTCAAGAATTTACAATTTAAATTGTGTAAATAGGGACGTGAAATTGTAACAATCATTTCATTTACAGAGTGGTGAGAGAGAGCTGGATTCGAGCCAAGTACGTGCAGAAAGCGTTCATCAAGCAGCTGCCCGGCGTCAACAAGGGCAACAAACTGCGGCAGTGGAGCGTGCGCAAGAAGACGCGGGGCTCGCCGGCCCGCCTGCTGAAGAAGCACAGCCTGGAGGAGACGTCGGCGTCCAAAGACTCCCTGAGCTCGCGGGGCGGGGACTCCCTGTCGCCGTCCGACTCTGACGACTTGACCAGCGGACTGCTGGAAGGTGGAGCACCAGGGGCTCGTAGAGGTCTTAGTTCTGCTTCTTGCTTTGGCTGTGTCTGTGTGTGTGTGTCTGTGTGTGTGTGTGTGTGTGTGTTTGTTTGTGTGTGTGGATGTGTCTGTGTGCTCGTATGTATGTATGTGTGTGTATGAGTTTGTCTTGACTTAAAAACTGCGTCCGTGCTCCTAGGGTCTACTATTTCATATAGTGCCATGTTGGTGCCTGAAGTTTTGAGGAATCATACATGGGTACTTTATGTTAGCTTGGCTCTTTACTTGCATCTGATTTACAATAAAGTGTAAAGCGCTTAGAGATTGCTGTTAAGTGGGGATATGCGCTATGCAAATGCTATTTATTTTTGTTATTATTATTTACCAGTAAAAATAAACTTTGACTTGCCTTTCAGGGCTTACTTACTAGGCCTAGCATGTAGATCTTAGGTCACCATGGGTGTCTCAGTATAGTTGTTGTTATGTCTCGTAGTAACAGGAAACAGCTGGCTGTTATTGTCGGTGTTCATAAACGACTTGCGGGGTTATACTGTGCTTTTGCCAAATTGGTCACACTGTCAGTTGAGATGCAGGGGGGGGGGGGGTTGCTATTGAGTTAGTGTGTGTTTCATTACTTGAGCAACAAAATGTAGAGTACTGCCATATGTAACTTTCACTGAACCTATGAGCACTGATGCCAATGTGATGTGGTTGTTTGTTAGTACATCTGTTTGTTCTGCTGTGTACAAAGTTCAAACCTTCAAAGTCTGCTGCTGATTAATGATAACTGTGAAATGCTGTAAACTACCTAGAGGCTAAACATTGTGTATTTAATTTAGAAAAATAACCATGTCACTTAGTCAGTGGGGTAATTTGCTGTTGAATGACAGAAGCATGCTAACCACCACCAAACTTCCTAGAAAAAAACCAAACTAACCCTGTTTTTAGCATAGGCACTGTAACTTGCCAAAGAATGTGAAAAGCATGCATGCTGCAAGATCTGTTAACTACCTAATTGCAAAATGTTGTTTTTTAGATATAACTATTCAATGCTGAAAGCATGCTAACCAGAAGAAAATTGAACCCGAACAATTGGCTCACACATTGTCATCTCCGTATGAAAAATGTTGGTCTTATGAAGTGAAATAAGTAATATGTACTCTTTATTACTGTTTTCTGTAATCTAATTTACAGTGAGATTTTGTGAAAATAAAAGTATAGATATAGAACAAACCGTGTTTGAAGAACAAGTAATAAAGTGTTTACAGTACAATCCCGCTTAAACTAAACGCAGTTAATCCTAATCAACGATAAACCGAAAGAAAATGGGAAACATGGCTAAACAGAGGAAAATCCGGTGGTCTGGCGTGTTTCAATTTTAGCAGACTCTACAAACAAACTGATAAATGCACAAGCATGCCATTTATGTTAAATTGAATAGCTCAAACTTAGTTGCGTAGTTTTGCGGTAATCTAGCCAATTATTTCTGAAAAAAAATATTCTGTTCATTAACAAATAAAACTTTAGAGAAAATTTATATGGATTTTTTTTAAATGTTAAAAAAAATAAAATTGCAGATACAATCAGTATTGGCTGGGCCTGAGGAGTCTAGGACTCCAGGATTACCGTGGCCAGAGGGAAGCGAGGGTTACGAATGGCTTGATACAGTGTAAGGATTAAGTACAACTCCAGACCACTCGTGACAAGCATCTGTGCATCATCAACATAGATAGCAAAAGATACAAGTTTGATCCCGGTGTTTGTACGTCCTTTTTATCTAGTATCTCTGACTTTCTGCCATGATGCGGTTTTTCTACTCAGCCCAGATTGGCCTTGACGGGCAAGGTCAGATCAGCATGCTCCCTTCCTAAATGATAGAAACTGTATTGATGAAGACATAAAACATTGACAGCCTGTCAAAGATACACCTTGGTTGAATTTGAGTTGAGGTTTTCCTTTGCCCGAGGTTCATGGTTTTCGCCTCTAAGCATCTGGTTCAGATTTCAAAGATTTTGATGAAATATTTATTTTGAATGATTCAACACCAGACTTTGTCGTTTGAACTTTAGACCCAGACATTTTCCCTTATATCAATGTATTCTGTTGCAAATGTGTTTTGTTGCAGACATTTCATACTACAAGGGGGTCTTTTAATGTCTTTCTATACTTCCTAGCATGCCACCTTTCATATATGAATTTATTTGTTTTTTCTCTCAGTTTCTGAATGAATGTCATTCATATATATTTATAACCCTTCTGGTCCTGTTATTAGCTTCTAACTGTATAGCAATCGCCTTTATATGCCTACAGTCTCTGTCCTTTCTGTCTTGTTCACCCAGTGTTGTACTCAGGCAAAGAATTTTTGTTTTTCAAACCTCTCAGATTATGTGGAAAGTAATTTCTTTAAAGTTTTTTTATCGTGAAGGCTGTGAAGTTGTGATAAATGATATTTTGTAAAGACTTCCTTTCGGTAATCCTGCTCTCTGCCACAACATCTCCGAAGAGAAGGTACAAAACATTCTCCATTTCTCCATATTTGTTTCCAGTCTCTCGCAAGATCTTTGGTGTCTTTACTGAGAGAAAATTTTTGTTCAAGAGTGTTAGTTACTCCAAAATTTCAGAGCCCTTTCCAAAGTCAAAGGTTATTAAATTGTTTAATATTATTGGCCTAACTGAAGAAGAACCTCAGCTGCAGTAAAGTCTTTTCAGACAAAATGTTCCCTTTTCCTTGAGTAGCAAATAAGTGCCATGTTTTCCTTCACATGTTGTCCTATTGTTGTATTTGGTGAATGTTGTCTGTATTCTTCTTGGAACTTTCAATATTACTCTTGACTGTAACTCATATGTGTTTTTTGTGTCGACGATTGATATTGCAAAAGGAAGATTTTTTTATATTTTGAGGACTTGAAGCGAGGTACTTTCTCATCAAACAGTTTTTTCAATCATTCTGCTAAAGCAAAATTTCGCCTCTGTGTGTGATGTGCTTCAGTATCTACAAGTTATAGCGCTTCTACAAATTACTAGCAACTTCTTGATATCAGATTTTGTTCCCCCAAAAAACAACAGAAAGAAAGAAAAGAATAATCAGTTTGTTGTAGGTTTGTTTAGTTAAACATAATGTCTCTGGACAGGTACAATGGATCCTCTATCTCCCTATGCAATGTCCTTGGAAGACTGACTGTGTGTTGCAACTGATCTCTGGCTAGAAAATGTACTACCCCTTTACATGTAGTTCTTTTTTTCTCTTCAAATATCTCATTGCTGTCTTGAATATAAACACTTTCTGTTTTAGCGAGTATCCCAGGACTAATACAGCAGTACTTTTATATAGCCTATATTTTTCTTGAGCTGGGTTTTTTTTTTCATCTTTCTCTGTATTATCACATCACCACTCTCAAAATTTCTCCTAACATGTATATATATATAGCATTTTTTTGTACTGACTAATAACTACATATATTTTGTAAAAGTCTAGCAGCTTTAAAAAAAAGGATGCTTTTATGATGAGCTAAGTTACAATTTTTATTCCTTGAAATTGGTATCTATTTTTTAGTGGTAACGTATCAGGTACATGAGAAGACCATTGTATAATGTGTGATGTCACACAGCTTGTTAAGTGCTTTAGGGCAGATTGATAGGTCAACGTTTTTAAAGCAATTTGACTTGCAACCTTTTTTAAGATATACAAAACCCATAGAACTCAGGTTTGGTTCTTACAGGGCACTGTTGGTAGGTCCTTCTACTTTTTCTTTGTAATGTTATTGTTGATATTGTCTGTCTTTAAGGGAGTTTTAAGTGACATGGTAAAAGCTGCTCTGTTGGGTTTTTGTTTGTTTGTTTTTTTCTTACTTTCCTGAAAGAAACTTGGGACTTCTGTTCAGTTGTGAGCCAATATACCATGTATCATTAATTTTTTTAATAAGCATGAAGTTTTAGGGCAAAAAAAATGTTGTTATTGTCCTGGACAGTGGACTTCAAGGGAAATAACTGTTGTAAAGACATATAAATGTTATGCAGTTACCTCATACGACTCAAAAACTGGTTTCTGTTTCTGCTATTTTTTGTTTTAAAGATTAAGATAAATCCACCTTTTAAAGGTTGTGCAGTGTCATCTTCTTAGGATATTCACCAAAAATTATGTTGATTATGATGGAACACGTGGCTGCAGGGTGTCACTCATACGTTCTACTTTTTTTTCTCCCTGCGTTGTGTCTATCTTACTTTTTCTCTGAACAAAGTGCCCATTGACATGTTGATGTATTTCTCTAAATTCAAACACAGTTCACAGCACAGGTGCTGAGTTTTGGTAAATTTTTGCGCCCAGAATGATGCTATTACTATGATGTTCCCTTTTTGTGTCTTCTGATTATGATTGTTCTTTTCCCCAATGTTGTCTGGTGCATACTAACACACTCCTCTCTTCCCCCTCCCCCCCTCCCA